ACGTACTACTAAGCAAGAAAAAACTGTAGACTACAAAAAAAAAGACTAATAATTTTCGATGAAAAATCGACGAAAGAAAATCGAGTTAGCCGAAGGCGCAACATCGTAGGCCACCGTAGGCTCAGGTGCGCAACATCCGAAGCTTTTAATGAATTAAGTGGAAAATCGTCATTAATATCAATTGGAAGTAATGCGAATTAGCATATTATGTCGCATCCTAACTTATCTATTAAGGCTCCCCTCCGGTTTCCATTCGGAAGGTACACGATCGTGAATATACATAACCTAATTTTCCGTGTCCCTTTCTATTTTAAAGAGGACACGCTGCTTAATGTTAGATACTCTCTGTGTTCAATGGAACTTTGAAACATATACGAGTATTCTATTATACAGGGTGAGAATTTGAAATCTAACAATCGGGAGTAGATTGATAACTCATCATACAGTCACAGACTAAAGCCTTTATCTGAGACGGTTTGACACAAATTAGTTCTTCATCTCCAATATATGTAGTACCAAAGTTTGTTTACCCATTTCCCCACAGTATCTGCATTTTTCGTTGTTTCTTAGCTTCAATCTACTGAAGTGTTCATTGAAGACAGCGTGTGACTCCCAGAGTAGGAGGACTTTATTTTCTTTGCCTAATTTGTTCAGCTTCTCTAGGCATTCTTTGACCAACTTCTTTCTTCCTTTTTGTCCTAATCAGCACACTTATGAAATAGTGTTTATTGTTGATTCATTGTTATAAGCAGTAAATTAAAATCATTTTTATAGTGACTACAAATTACTTGTCTAAAATGGATAATATGGAATAATACAGATAATTTTAAAGTATGGGGACCAATATATCCTTAGATGATATAAATTGTTAATGTCTGTAGAAAAGTTTATTTTAGAATGCATACACTCATATAATATGCACTATTAAGGTTTATTGAGAGCTGATAAAGAACAGAGTCAACAAGAGAAGACTATTAGAACTTTTTAGGATTTAGAATGAGTGGGAGGGGGGTTAATCACTGCGACCTTACAGATCTATTGTGTCCCCCTTCCTTGAGTTATAACTCATCATAAAGTCCTAGGGCTTTGACAAAAGCCAGTATCTGGGACGGTTTTATAGAGGGTAGTTCTCCATCTCCAATATCAGTCGTACCAAAGTTCATGGCACGAATGGTTGTCGTCTCGGCGCACTCAGTGATGAGGTGTACTGGTGTTTCCCCATTTTCCCCCACAGAATCTGCATTCGCCGTTCCTTCTTAGTTTCAACCTACTGAGGTGTTCATTGAGGAGACAGTGTCCTGTTAAAAACCCCGTGACAGTCCGAAGATTGTTCTTACTTAAATCGAGGAAGATCTTTGATTTTTCTTGATCGTAAGCCTTGCAGAGAAGACCATTACTATATTGGTGAAATTGGTTGGTAGTGCAGGTATGTTAACAATACATTTACTTCAAACACCTCTTTACCTTCTTTACCTTAACATTACCTTCTTCCTTCTTTACCTTTACCTTCTTTACCTCTATACAGGAAGGAATCATGTAGAATAACATCACAGCATTAGGTACAACCCTGGAGAACCAGATCTCAACAAATGCTACTGATCTTCGTGCTAGTTGGCAGTCCACTGACTGCAGGTGAAGATAGACATCTTTAGCTCTTAGCAATCATAGATCATGAGCCATGATCCATGGTTTTCGTCTATTCAAACATTCGCAAACAGGAAGATCTCGAATGAGATATCTTTGACCCATCATTCCATCCTCTAATACGACAGTAATCCCAAAGTTTTTTAATACAAATTTACCTTGTGTGGCATATCCTTGAGAGATTTTCCTTACAGTTTTATAGAAAAATCCTAAAAAAGTGTACTATTACTCTTTGAAATATTAGTAAAAGTACCTAAGCATTATTTTTAAAGACTATTATTTTTTTTATTTTTCTTAGCCACAAAAAATTGTTTTAAAGGTTTCAAATCCACATCGGAGAAACCAGTGTTTCCCCTTCCTTCTCCGGATATGTATTTAAGACCTTCCTAATAGCATTTCTTATGGAAGAAAAATATTCCCGATTGTTAGTTTTCAAACTTCTAATCTGTATACTACATTTTTATAATAAAAATAAAAATATATTTAATGAATGTAGCATTATTTTCTTGACTTACCAATGAAAAAATATTTATTCTTGATTGATTCAATAATTGAGTCTAATTCTAATGCCTTAATCCAACACTGACTGGACTGACACTATAATGAAAACTGCCGGTATTTATTTTTATTGCATAAGTGTTTTGCTGTACATTAGTTTAATAACCTTGTTACAATTAGGTTTGTTGATATGCCACATATCGCTAATAAGAACATCCTGCGTGGTGCAAATGAAACGGTGCAAATTATTTGATTCGTTTGCGCTAAAGAGATTTTTGATAGTTTCAGAGAAGGATGCCATGACAAATACGCTGATTTATTTAGATGTATGTCAAAAACATATTTATATTTATAAAATATTTGTTGCTCAGGAAATATGTTGTCCTAAAGCTAAACAAGTAAAAATCAAAATTTTATAAGACAGATATTTTTTTGGCGTATAATTTTGGTACTTGGTAATTCTGGCAAAATATTGCAGATAACTAAAAACATTGATACCATTGGTTGAAAATAATATATTTAAAGATGAATCACCTCCACTGCAACATGAAAATTAGTCTTGGATATATACATACATGTTCACTTAAATATAATTTATTTAACAAATTTATAAAACTTCAAATTAGTAATTTTCAGTTACTGTCGTGATTATTGAATGTTTAGCCCAGTGTCCATCAAGTTAAAAATGTTTAATATCTTTGACTACTGATTTTAATCAAATATTGATAGGGTATGGTACAAATTTTGTATAATATTTAGTCCATTGTTTTTCATATTTGAGAGATTATTGGAATTGATATATGGTTTATTTATATTTTGAAAATAGTATATATTAAGCCCAGAAATATTTGGTTTCAGTTTTAAATTCAGGAGGACAATAATTGTGAGAGGAAAAAGAGGAAAGACTAGTGGTACTTTTATTTCAACGGTTCTTATTACTTACTTATAAGAAGTATCTACTAAAAAAATAGTGTTCTCTCTATGTAGTTTCATTTAGACATTTTAAATAGTTTTTATTTATTCTTTTTGCTTTTTTGCTTCTGACGTTAGGGGGGAGATAATCCCCTGAAAACGTCAACTATTATGAGCCAAATTAGTTTTAAGAATATAAACCACAGACAAACTGGCTTTCGATTTGATTCTTGACGGTGTGATTTTATAACGAGTAATGTAAATAACTTTTTAGATTTATACTTCGGTGACAAAATAGGCAGGTATTTTACACCAGGGAAGTTTCCAATAGGCAGGTTTTTTCCATTTCCAGAAATTAGGTAAAAAGAAATAAACCAGCCATAATGGTATACATAGATATTACTTTTAATGTGCCTTAGCTGAACATTAAGTTTGTACACCAAGCGTTACATATTTTACGTATAACACCACAACATAATCATTGAATTCTAATATAACCTTTGAAAATTCGATAATTAATTATATATTTTAAAGTTATGAACATTTTTTCAAAATAATATATCTTTTAATTTTATAAACAAAGCATATTTTTGTCTCCCTTTGTGTAGTGTTGCTAATATGTTAGCATCAGAAGTAGATTACATAAACAATCTTACATGTATATGATTATTATGAGATAAAAATCAAAATATAATTTTGGTATGATAATGGTTCTCTTTAGAATTCTTCTTTTTTTCTCCGAATGAAAAAAGAATGAAATTATAGTTTGGGAAATAGAGCAATAATAGGACCTTTTTTAAAAAAATTAAATGATTTACTAAGCAACTATTGGAGGCAAAAATGTTTTTATTAATACTATTGGGTAAAAGAATTTGTAGAATTTTTGGTTTGCAAATTTGTAGTTTGACATTTTATGAAATTATAGTTTCGGAGAAAAATGAAAATTTATATTATACAGGGTGTCCCAGAAATAAGATCAAGTATTTTAACTAGAGCATAGGTAGTTCAACCCCAGAAACACGCCTATGAGGTTTTTTTCGCGAAACATTTTTTTGGAAAATTCGAAATTTTTTGGATTTTTTTTTTGTTTTTAGTTAAAAACAAAATTTCTTGATAATATGGCAACATAGGTATTAGATTAAATTTACAAGAGAGAAAATCCAAAAAAGATCCAGTGGTTCTCAAAATTTTAGCAAAAGATTTTTTTTTTGGAAATTTTCAAAGTAAAATAACTCCGTTATTTTGGACTTATTTGAAAAACGATAAAGAGAAAATATTGTTTCTTTTATCGAGATCTACCAGTCCTTAAATACTTGCACTTATTTGTGAGACACCCTGTATATATATTATATATATTATTTAATATTATTATTGAATTTCGCTAATTTTTTTAAATCACAAAAATACAATAACTACAAAACACCAAATATAATTTTTCATAGATTCAAGAATGTTTAGGCATCATCGGCATATCATGAAACTATTTTTGAAAATGCCTCGATGATTAAAACACAATGATTATTTCTTTCTCGGTTTATTGTGGTTAATGCTCAGTTTTGAGTTTTTATAAAAAATCTATTTGATAGACGCATTAAACACAGATAACACAAAGAGAATTCTCTGAAACTGATATATGTTATTAGAACAATCAAATGACGCTTTCGACAAAATATTTCCAGTTATATTATGTTTCTTTGTAAAAATATTGAGTATTTGTCTTATTTTATTCAAAAAACAATAGAAAAATGATGCACAAACCAATATACTAAAAACACATTTTCTTCACCATGCAACTTTATGGTTAACATCATCAGCAGTTGATTAAAACTATCTTTGAAAATTTCTTAAAGAGCGCCGAAAAATTTATTGTGTTTAATATCAACTCTTATGAACAAAACAATATTCTAGATAAAGAAAATAGATAAAAAGAAAATGATCATACTCACTTTGTGACCGTCACCGAAAATCGTGATGCTGGCGATGGGGGAATCAACCCCCGACAGATTTCAAAAACGAATCAGTTCAGTTTCTTAAAAAAATACACAAATTCACCAATAGTCTTATTTCTGGTCCATGTCTTAAAACTCAACAGAAAACAAAACGAATTCAACACGACAGCTCAATCAACCGTTGATTGTTAAAGAAAGACTTCGCGTGATTATCAGAGCTTTAACGATAATATAGCCAGAGATGAAGCCCGTCGGATGCTGGCAAGCTTTTGTGCTTTTATCTCGCCGCGATGTAGCGATGCCAAACGCGACCAACAATCCACGTTGCTATGGGCGGCGCGACCCCAACTTTCCTCCACTACTGCGCCGGAGTCGCCCGGACTTTGTAGGCGGAGCCAACACCGTCAAACAGAGACACCCTTGCCCCAAACCATCGCTCAGGAAAGAGACGGCATCACACACTGGCAATTCTCTTCCGGTAAACCGGATCTTTCTTAATAGCGCGCGGCGAGCGGGGCGAACAGAGATACCGATACAGTTTATGGCTAAACACTAAACACTTTTTTTACGAGCGGATTAAAGCGAGATGGGTTTAATAGATTTGTTTGTCCGCCTAAGCAAGAAAGATGGGGTAGCGGCGGGGGGTGCAGTGGCGTCGCGCAGATTTGCGCCGGGCGCGTCCTTTTTCTTCTCTGTTCGTTCCCGTTTTATGCGATTTTTATTATTCAGGAGTAATTACGGGGGTTTTGTGTCGTGGGCGATTATTATAGCCGGAAGAATGCGGGTAATGAAGTCGCTTCTAACCTTTTTAGAAGACGGTTTGCGAGGTAGGGCTAGGTACTAGAAATAGGGGGTACACTGAAAGAACAATACTGTATACTTGTTGAGAGTATCGGCAATTGGAGTTCTAGAACAATAATAGACCTTTCCCGTTAATCGGATTTTCAGCGGTCATAATGCGCGGACAGATTTGGCGCCGTTCAAATCTGGTTATAAACGGAGTCTTTAAAGGCTAGGGATAAAAAGAAATGTATCTAAAGAAATGACTGAGCACGGATGTCGTAACTTATATCTGTAGGATTTATGGTATACATAACCCTACTTATTTTGTTTTTAATTTTTGTTATTTATATAAAATTTATTGAAAATTGTCTTTGTTCTTCTGCTCAATCCGTAAATTATTGTATTAGGGCAAATTTCAGTTCACAATGCGTAGTTGTATAGTCGGTTACTCCAATTCGACCAAGCGATGTACTGACATTAGTTTATTTTTCATTCCAAAACTGTGTTCCAAAAGGAACTCGGAGAAATATATGGACTAACATTTTGAAAACAGATTCACAAGCAATAAGCGACAAGATAAGAGTATATATTTCCCAGACTGTATAGTATATTTGTAACTTACATCAAGAAAACTTTGTTTTAGGTTTGCTGGCGTCATTTTAGAGGAGATTTATTTCGTTTTTCAACAAGGACATAACTAAAACCCCATTGCATACCACGTTTATATCTGTATAATAACGCAGAAGCCAACGAAGCTGTACAAAATATAGAAACCAGTAAAACACCAAAAAAATAAATTCCAAAACAAAGAATACTCGATTACCCGATTAAATCATAGGCGATATATTAATCTAAATTTTTAATTGAGAACACAATGATAATGAAATAAATTATTATACAGGTGTTAGGAGTCATAAAATATTATTAACAATATTTATATTTTCAAATCAGAAAAAGGACCTATTGGTGCAGTGCACCAATACCAATATATTTTGAAGAGAAAGGACTAATTATTATGATTATATAATGGACTAATTATTATGATTAATCCAGAGCAATAATTTAATAATGTATATGTTAATTATGGTATGTTATTAGGTTTGATGTTGTTAACATCTTTCATTGGTTTTTACTTTTAGGATTTATATTGGATAAAAAGATGGAATAGTGGTTTTTTATAATCATTTAAAATAAAGATAGAAAAAGGCAAATTAAATGCAGGGGACATTATTTTAGCTGATAAAGATTCCAAAATAAACAGTATTTTAGAGCATATTGGTATCAAACTCAACATTCAAAGTTACTGGTATGCAGTTTCAAGACAATGACGTGGAATTTATCAGGAAAATTGCACATGAAAGAATACATGTGGAAAGAGCGATTAGAAGAATTAAGGCATTCAAAATTTTAGCTTCTAGATTACCAATAAGCTTGTTAAGTTCTATTAATCAAATTTGTACTGTGTGTGCTCTTTTAACAAACTTTACAACCATTAAGAAATCTTTAGGGAGATCTTCTCTTCATGAAAAATTTTGCTTGTGCTATAGTGGTAACTCCCGTTTAGACTTTTCCAAGTTTCCATAACTTTTTAGAGAAAATTAATAAAAAACATGTAATTTTTTTGTAAGTCCTAAAAATCAAAACCTGTTTCTAAGTTAATACAATTTTGTTTTCATTCTTTGGTAGAATTTGAATTAACGTCATATTTTTTACTGTTTTAAAATGTTAAAGAAGCACAAGATTATTTAGTTCAATGCTAGAGAAAGGGTGATGATACTTTACCACAGCAAAAAATATGACGTTAATCAAAATTAATAATAACCATCTATCAAGGAATGAAATTGAAATTATATTACGATAGAAAATCGTTTTGATTTTTGAGATATTTTTAGGAAAAAATTCAACTATATTTGATATAGTTTTTTTAAATTTACTCAAAACGGTATAGAAATTTAGAAAAGCATAAACGGCATTAATCATTTTAAAATGAGCAAAACTTTTAATGAAGAATGTATTTTTCTCAAAATGCCAATAATAAACGTCTCTCCTCTTATAAAGACGATCGGGGGACACACTGTATACTATAATAAAAATAAATAATATATAAAATAAAACATTTAGTCAAAAATCTATATATATATTACTATCATTATTTCAAGATTTTTTCTTAAATACACTACCATATTTGCCATTATCTCCTTGTAGCATGCGCCTTTCCAGTTGTAGAGCTTCGCCAAACAAAAATTCATGAAAATGGTTCCCTTCTGGCAAAGAGCAGCTAATTAAAATATTTCTAGTGATAGTATTTAATATGGGTAGATTAACTGGCATATCATCATTAGCAATATCTTTCCCTCCTCTATTTTGTTGACCAAAAATAGTAATTTCTGGAACTGGAAATACAAATAGTTTTACTCAACACATACATTTCATAACTTGAATACTGTAATATTATTAGCATAATTAATAAAACGATATATGATATAATAAATAAGTATAATTTTGAAAGGCCAAAAGTGAAGTATAAAAACCTGCAAAAGCACTTACTGGTATTCTCTGTAGAAATAAAAAAAGATAAAGGTATGCCCTTATCAATCTTTTAAAAAGGTTCTCTTCTCTCTAATTTCTGTAATTTTGTGGGCAAATCATCTGCTTGTTCATTCGACATCGCAGAAGTGCTATGAATAGCAATTTTTGTTACAACGGGGGCCTTCCTTCTCAAAATATTTGTAGGTTTTTGGAATATGAGATACCTTGCATCTTCAGGAATTACTTTTGTCCCACGTGGCTTATTCTATATCATAGCTTGGGATGTTGAAGCAATGTGCTCGGGAGTTTCATATTCTATTCTTAATACAATGTCTTGCAATTAAAATTCTAAACCCAGCAAATGATGGCAAGACTGGGATGAACTAAAGGAAATATATAATTTATTTTAGTATTAATGTTAAAAAATAATAGTCAAATACTCACCCAACTTCACAAGAACAATGACATTCTTGTATGCATAAATGTGGACTTGACATAAAAACTATACATAAAGTATGAGGTTTTTAAATGTGATTGGTGCACATTTTAAATGCACTAAAACTGTAAAACGTACGCAAAATAATAAAACAAATATAAAAACCAAGAAATAATGTTGAAAGAAAACTTTAACCAAACTTTATCTCCAAAACAAAACAAAATTGACAAATACGGATGACAAGCCACATGCAACAAGCTAGGACCTACGATCTTTCAGTCTAGCAAACTTAACTTCATGCGCGCGCATTATGACCGCTGTTTTCGATTAACGGGAAAGGTGTATTGTTTAATACTCAGTTACGACTCGTGAGATTTGAAGGAGGTTGGGCGCAGCTTCCACAAGAAAAAAGTATCTACTATTTTAGTACATAGAGTTTATCATTCCAGTTTTCATGCTTGAAATTACATCATTATTTGATCCTATAAAGTGTAATATAAACATTATGCGAAGCAAATTAGTAGCATTTTTGAACACATTTTAGGTAATGTTTCTAATAATCGTGTTTCTAAAATAATCCTTGACACAAAATGGAAACGGTATGCCACAAATAGGAAACATTTTCGAAACCTATATATTTTATATGGTTTTATTACGTGTGTTTCCAGTGTGGTGGCACAGTCGTTTCCTGAAATGTTTCGATGCGGAATCAAAACTTTTAGAGGAAATGTTTCGAATCATTTTCTGCAATTTGTCTCCAAGATGTTCCCGTTTTCAGCCACTGTTTCTAAATGTGAAGAAACAAAATACCAAACTAAAATAGTTTATGTCTGTGTGTGGATTTCAAAATGAAAACAACCATCAACAATGTTGACGTCCACATAATTTTTTTATCTTAAAATCTTTGTTTTTAGGTGTCCTCACACAAAAAATGTCTGGCAAAAGCAAATTTATCGTTTAATTTAATAATGTACTTTCATATTTTTAATGCCCCTTCTATATATCATTATTTGTTGCTACATAATATTTTTGCTTGAAATATAGATTTTTATTCTGAATATAAAAATATATAAATTAATGTAAGTAGAACGCGTTCTTATGAGTTTAAAAGCTCAACAGCCGATAAAAACATATATCGTTTTAGTTAAAAATGCTATAACTAGCCAACATGGCATAATTTTAATTCATTATTTTATAAAATTGACATGGAGTCGGACAAAAATCATCTACATCATATCATATTCGTATCTAAGAAGAGGGAAACTCGTGTTTCGAAAATGAATCGACAATAAATGGAAACCTTGTTTCCAAGATGTTTCGATTTAGCGCTATCTGTTATCACCTGTCAACAACGTCAATCAAAACTTCTGGTCAAAATAATTGAAAAACATTTTTATTTACTTATAACACAATTAAAACATATAAACAAGAAAGCTTAAATGCAAAAACTGCAGAACAAAAGCCAAACAATAAAGTAAAGGTTTTATGTTCTCATATTTTACACCAAACCAAACCAAAAACACCAAAAAAGTATGGAAACTTTTCAGGCACGAA